CAAATTTCATTAAAATCAGTTCAGTGGTTTAGGCGTGAAAGCGTAATAAACAGACAGTCATACAGAGTTACTTTCGCATTTATAATATTAGTAGGTATTATTATGGAGCGTAGAGTTAATAATATTCTGTTTCTTAATAAATTCTTATAAGACAAAATTTATATATAGATATATTAGTTTTAATGAAAAATATATTACCATAGATATCATTATAAGTCCGAAACAGCGTTGTAACAGGTGATAATTTTTGAATTAAATTACTTTTATCGTTATTTTACTTTACGAAATTATGAGTCATTAGGAAAGTGTCACGTATCTTATTAAATTTTATATTTAACATAATATATATAAATATATAAATTTTTATTGAAATGTAATTTCTAAAATCTATAATACATGCAAAAGAATGAAGAGGACACAGAATACTCTTAAGATAAATTAACATCACTACACTACATGAGAGTTTTTTACTTTAAATTTAATTTTTAATTTATAAATCTACTCACATCATAGTATTAACGTAAGTTAATAAATGAAAACGGAAAACAATTAGTAAGTAGTTTGACGTTATAAACTCCTGTTAAGCGTACAGTGATAGGTACGATATTGAGGAAAATAAGTACTTTTGTAAATAAAATATTGAATTTCTCAAATTTTTCAAATCTGACGGAAAAACAAACACATAATTTGTAAGTTGTAACCATATTTAATGATTAATTTAAATTAAATCTCGTAAAAATTTCTTACCATTTTAGTGAAAAGATACTATTATATATATTCCTGTAATTAATTTAATAATTTCATATAAAAATGTTAAATAGATATTATAATTTGATTTACTTTACGATGTCATTTTTATCAATACTGTTTGTAATTAATGATTAATATCATTCAATCAATAAGTTTCTTGTAAGCGATAGAGTTTAGTAGGTTTTTTTGATTATCAGACTAAGACACAAACAATCAATTCTATAATTTTATTGGAAAGGAAAGTAATTAAAGACATTCTATAAAATATAAGTGTTAGTAGTTGAAACATCTATTAAATTTAAATCTAACTAACAATGTCTAATTGTTAATCAATAGACAAAAACCTTTTTTTAGTCTGCTCGTGATCACGGTTGCTTCAAAGTAAAGGAAACGAAAATGTATGTAGTTTTAAAAAAAATAAAATAAACGTAGTAATTAGACAATATAAGTTTAATTTAAATGAATACTCGCGAGTCTTAGATCTCATCAATAAAAAATTTTTAGTCAAAACTAATGATTATATCACCATATTTTACGTAAATTTCCCCCCGACGTACCAAAATAATACGTTATCTTTATTAATCTTTTTTATCTTAAATGAAACAAACTGTTCATCAGTACGGCTACTACTAGTTCTAATCGGCACACTAAATCAGTTTTGATAGTTTTTCATTTCTAAATCTTATCTTATCATAGTATTAACGAAGTTTAGTGTTGCCCAAAATCGCTCTTGGTCTTGCAGTCTTGGTCTTGGTATTGTTGTTTGCAAGCCTGCAAGACTCTTGCGTCTTGCATTTAGGACTGAGGGTCGTTTCATGGAGTAATTGTAGGAGTTCGGGGTATACGTTTAGGGATTCTATGAGACGCAAAAAATATATCATCTGTTTTCGAAAATTGGACTTAGGTATACGAATTACGAACACTAGGTACAATTAACGAACGTATATAGCGAATGAAATATAAAGAAAAAAGAGTGCATCCCTAGTTTTAACCATCCGTATTGTGTGTAGTGAGCGGTGTCTTGTCAGCATCATCAAAGTTCGGGAGTACCCAACCCGACTTAGATCAGTAGAGCTCTCATAGAAATATTGCAACTATTCGGAAGTACAAGATACACACACTGTTTGATAGCCGCCTTTAATATGTAAAGCAATGTTTAATAAATAGCGACAGGCTTATAGGTCATTGCAAGACTCTCGAGACTCTTGTAGCAAGAACAAACCAAGACCAAGACTATGGGTGCAAGAATGTATTGAATGAGGAACGGGAAACGTTTGGTACGTAGTGTGACGCTTCAAACTTGTGGTAAGCGTTTAATTGACGTCATCAAATAATGCAAATAGCATTTAACGCGTATCTTATATGATATTTGAAGCACTTAAAATAATAATCTTTATAACCCACCAAAATTCAGTGGTTTTTAATGTTTTCGTACAATCAAAAGATATTTTATTCATGAGAGGAATAGTTTTACAGTTTTGGTGCCTGCTCCTAAAGCATCCTTATATTATCTTAATTATTATCTCCAACCAAACAATTACTACTCTCGAATTAAATTACAACTAAAAATCTGTTAATTCAGTTTCGTCGAATATAGTCCCTAAAATTATATTAATTTTTAGAAGATTTATAAAAAAAATCTGGCTGGTAATTGTGCTTAATAAAAATAAATGGCCTAACTTAGGAGATTTAAATCGTAATTTTCGATTAGTTCTTGTAAAGTATAAAGATTTATTTAATGTAAATTATACGTAGGCACTTAAAACTCTAAAAATCCCGTTAAAACCTTATTATATAAATTTGTATTACATATTATGTATATAAAGTATTATATACTATAGATAGGACATTATTATTCTCACCTTAACAGCAAATCCGTATCGCGACTAAAATAACCAATTCTTCTGTACATATACATATATATGATCATAATAATTTGAAAATAAAATTACTATATAATGTATATAAAGTATTATATACTATAGATAGGACATTATTATTCTCACCTTAACAGCAAATCCGTATCGCGACTAAAATAACCAATTCTTCTGTACATATACATATATATGATCATAATAATTTGAAAATAAAATTACTATATAATAGAAAATATAACGTCACACTTTCCCATAATATTAGTTGATATAAAATAAATCACTTTTACTATATATAATTAATTCCAAGGTTGATGTTCCGTCAATAGCAACTTTATCCCAAGAGATATACGAGTATGTATGTGACGTAGGATTACGTGCTCACTGCGTTCTGAGGCCGCATTTTAATACAAGAACTGTACATATACCATAATATAAAACATACTATATATATAATAGGTATATATATTTAAAATAAAAAATCATAATAAATAGTATTTTGAATTGTTTAACTATGTTCAGTCTAAATATTATATTATTATTCATTTTATAACGAGTATATTAGTCGAGTTTTAAATGTTTTTAATAGTATATATATTATTATTTTATTTAATTCAATGAAAATGCTCTCTTATTGTGACAATGCTAAGTCAACTAGGCTTGCTTCCGCGCGACATGAGATCTAGGACATGTACTTGTAGGCTTATATATAAAACACATAAATAAATACATTTCTTTCTTAACTCAATACATGAAAACACAGACGAAGTTGCGGTCACAACCTAGTCTTATAAAAATTAATAACCCATCAATCGTGTAGATTACAGTTTTTTAATATTTGTGATTATTTTTTAGAATATATGTATAAATTTAAGTAAATGCAACTTTAAAATCTCTTCGTTGTTATCAAATTAATTGATATATAACTTCAAGGATTTAATAGAATTAACTAAATTATATAAAATAATTTTTATATAGAAAAAGACAGGTATATAGAAGTTAGAAACTAAGGAGAAATTACTTAAAATATCTGGAATTTCCTGGTTCTCACGGTGTGGTGATAACTCCGAGTCAGCAAAATCACACGACATACGATATTGTGCGAATACAACTTTGTGCCCCGGCGAGGTTTATTAATTGTTTTAATTATATATTACTATCAGAAAGTAATTAACCATACAGTAAAATGTTATAATACAAATGTCTTATTCATTTGAAGCATAAATTTAAAAGCTATATATTGTTTTGCAGACCTTATCAGGCTAAAAAGCAACCCTAAATTGCCATTCGATTAAAAATATACTAATTCATTTATGATTAAAAATTACAAAAAAACTCACGAGACGGTCGGGTTTACGCAATTATCATATAATTATTGTTCAGAATTAAAATTAACACGTTGTGAATTATTGGTGAAGGATGCGCTAAAATGACTAACAAATTAAATATATAAGATGGCGAATTGGTGGGAAAACCGTGTACACATGTGTGTGATATTAAAATATGTTTGTATGCTTCTTACATTATAACGCCGAAACTACTAACGGATTTGTTATAAGTCAATCACCTGACTTTAGATTAGGCTTTCGATGAAGGGTAATACAATTTGATTGAAGTTTTTTGTTTATTATTTATCATTTATTCCACTGAATTCGAACTCGTGATATTATAGCTTTACCGTCACTACAATAATTGAGCTATCGGGACTACTAATAAAAATATTATCAGAAATTCTTATGGTCGTGTGATATCTTCGTTGAAAATTCTTCAACGCGTGTATTTTCTCGACGACCTTAAATTTTATTGATAAAATAAATTAATTGAAATGAAATGTTATAATTAAGAATTTATACATTCCATTAGTTATAAAACTAGTTGTACATTTGCAGGTAATTCTTGATAAAATTACTTACAAAAAGCTTTTTTAATCGTCAAGCATTTGACAAATAAATCTTTATATATAAAAAAAATATACAGAGAAATGATTATCAACTACACTTCACGAGCCTGTATAGAGAAATGGTTGTACTTTATTTAAATTTATTAATTATACATAAGGATTGTTGCACACACACGATGTAGGACATAATACAAAATTAGCTTTAATCCGATAATTCTGTGTTCATAAAGGACATTATATTATAATATGAATCCTCTTGAGTGTCGAGTAGGTAAATTACATCCTCTAGTGTGTACACGTCTTATATTTCAGAGTTTCAGCTAATTCTTTACTCGTTAAAAGGTTAGTCTACCTGTGACCACACATGATAGCGGGCGGGAAATAACACGCTGAAATAAAATGTAATTATAACAAAAATCTATGATATACGAATTAAATTAAATTAAAATATCCATATATAAAATATATAAGTGAAAATGAAGTTTAAGAAACAGACCCTAGTATCGGGGGATACGTCTGAAGAGGAGATAGGACACAGTTATTTGGGAACTTTGGTGAGTATTTAAACATGAACTTAAAAATCTAATTATTAACGTTTATTTTTGATTGTCATATCTTAAAATGCCATTAGAATTGATATTCTTACCTCTCTGTTAAAGTTATTTTATATTGTATGATATTGTGATTTAAATTTGTTTATGTTATAATGTAAGTCAAGTATTTCATTGAATACACATTGCACTTGAATTGAAGGCAACTGATATTGAGAGGCAAATAGATGTCTTATATATAATTACCTACATTAGACGTCTCTTTATTTTAATACCAAAACAATAGACAGTATTAAAATCAGATTTTTAAAGTAATTTACAAAAGTAAATTTCCCATCATCAGATTATAAATAATCTTCTTATTCTACCTGGCGATTTCCCAGCTTTAGCCAGGGTCTGCCTTACATGTTGTGAATAGTTTTGGCTAATTAATTTTACGACCGGCCGCCTGCCTGACATGCATAAGAGACGGGCCTTTTAACCACTGAATCAATCAGATCATACATAATATATACATATTATGTATTTATAAATGACTAGTAGAATTTTCTTATGATTTTCCTTAAACCAACCCTTGCAAAATATTCCAAAATGTATAATCGTAAACATAAAAACAATTTTATTATTTATCAAATCAACGTGTAATTTTACTAATTAAGAAATCACGATTCATTATCATGTCATGTGAATCTCTTTAGATCAATTTTTAACGTCATTAATTTTTAACTAACTTTGAATATATTTTCTTTAAAATAAAATACTATTTAAAGAAGAAAAACTAAATAATAAAGAGGTTAATGTTTTATTTAAGCTTTCTTCAATATTATTAAATCGTTTAAAGTATTTTTTATCTACGGTATATGTCAAAAAATGTAAATTTATTTTTGTTATTAGCCTTAATGAGTCAAGTAGTTATAAGATAAACAATTATGCTTATTTTATTAAAAATATATTGTTTAAAATATGTATACGAAAAAATACATAAAAGTATCAATTAGATCAATGAATATTTTTATTACGAACATTTGAAAGAATCTTTACTTTTATACTTCGTTTTTTCGACTTTTAGATAAATTAACTTTAATATTCGCTCTGTACAAGTAATGATTTAATTTTACTTACTAACTGCTTCTTCTATATAAAAAATCAACTAAATCCAACGAAATACTCTTATATTTTTCATACCAATCAAAAAACTAATACATACAAAAATCGACTATCAGTTTTTAAGACATCCTGAGCTATTGTTAAAGGAAGAAAATCTTTAAAACTCAAAAGCCAGTGGATATCTTTAACAGTTTTAATAAATATTTGTGTTATCACTAAAATTTGTGGACCGCGTGCCTTTATCAACACAACGCACCAAACGTCACATGATCGGGAAGTATTGTTATAAGCGATTATAAAACACGTTACTAGATAATAAAGAAAAATATATTAAACATATTATGACAATTAAATTAGTAAATAATGAACTTTTGATATAGTTATAAAAGGTTTTTTTTGGAATTTTGAGGAAAAACTATGTCTATGAAGTTTAAAAGACTGTAGTTCTTGATTTTGCTTTCGATACATACATATTACACACACATACATACAACTTCTATTAATATATATATATATTTTATATCTCGTTTTACATTTTGGAATGAAAATCTCGGTTTCTTAATGGTTTGAAATTCTTTTATTTATTTAACGTTATGTCACACAGTTTATTATTTAAATGTTGATTATAAATTATCTCTAAAGAAGTCGGAAAAATTTGTCTCTTATCAATTAATGTACACAATAAACCTCAGCTAAAACAGATTGGAGATCAAAATTAATGAATAAAGAAAACATACAAAATATATATTTTAAAGGTACTAACCATTTTAATATTCTGAATAATTTATTTAATTTTTCTACACATTTGTTATAAATACAAACATTATTTAAATCTACATATGTATAATTATAATTAGTGATGTGCAAAGAACTACATAAATGTCCGTAAACTACTTAATGGCGTCATTAGTACAACTATTTAGTTTAACGACTCACTTGTAGTATTACAAACTAGTTATATTACGTGATATCTTAAAAGAAAGATATAGAGACGAAACTTCTTAGCATTCAATGTATTCACGGTGCGGGTGTCGGGTCCATTGTTGTAGTGAGAGGAGCTTCAACAGTGACTGGGACTTGCGACCCAGGCGTAGGTTTAAGGGACCCCTATCTAACGCGCATTATACGCTCACCACCACCCTCCAAGCTCCTCTTTCTATGAAATTTGAAAAGAACCTACTAGGGCTGCTTTCGAAGTACGTTCCAAAAATAAATTGATATTAGTTCTGGACAAGCTAAATTCTTTTAGTAGGTTGTAGAGAGATTTAGCCATTATAACTCGCTCCCACCTCTACAACATACAAATCCACGACGAACCTATATATAATTTTAATATTATCTCTTTGAAATTATATAACATTGATTAATATTTGATTCCTTTTATATGATTTAAGAATTTCAATACATATGTTTCTTGTTATTTAAATCCGTATAGAAAGAAGTCTTCTGTGAAATCGTTAATACCAAGTCAAGGTTTCGTCTCAGATGCTATGTGATTCTATCGCGTGTACACAGCATCCTGGTGATAACATCTCCACAGTCGGCAGACCTTAGCCCTGAACGATCCTATCATTACTGAAATTGTATGAACCTCTTAGTGTTTACGTCCGTATCACTAGCATTCTTGTAGTGATATTTACGACTAAGATTTTTGTAGGGAATAGTGAAATCTGTGTATGTATATATATGTGTGTGTGTGTGTGTGTGTTAGTAATATTGTTATTATAATTATTATTTTCTGATATCATATTTGAATACTTAATGAAATTTTGTATGTTTGTCTGTTTGGTGTTGAAGTTTATTCATAATTGTTAAAATTGTTTGAACATAAAGTCAATATATGTTATTTTTCTATCATACAATAAATTTGAAATTAAATTGTATATTGTTTGTTATAACCGCTTTTAATTTCGTCGAAATTATATCTTGATCATCATAATCACGCCTAAACGAAAACCTCGATTGAAATACACATAAGATTTGGTATTAATAATAATAAATATGTAAATAATAATTATTTTAATAATTAATCCATTAAAATTACTTTTGTTAATATATAAAACTGTATAATAATTTATATTCATATATAAAATTGCAGTATGTACCTATTTGTTATTTTAAATTAACAGCTCTTTGCTTAAAGCGTATGAAAGTAGATATGATACTTACATCAAGAGCGAAATTTTAAAAGTGTTCGTTTGTTTGTCTCTCTGTCTGTTCCGGCTTATCTCTAGAACGGCTGCTCATATTTTGAGGGATATTTCTTCAACGAGTAGTTACTTTTGTAAGGAGTAACTTGAGCTACTTTTTAATCAAATACAAAAAAAGGATAGTCTCAATTCGACTACATGTTCGTTATTATTCTCTTAAATAAATGCCAATTTCCAATTGTTTCTTAATGTTATAGGCATTCTCCGTTATTCCATTGTCATAAATTCAGAATCTGTTCAATGTCCTTGAGACTTATAATGATTGTAAAAATACCTCAAAGGCAGTTTAATGCGGGTAGAGCCATAGGCCACAGCTAGTATATTGTATAAACAGCGTGCTAATATAAAATTATTACCAAATAACTCTCAAATTACTGTAACACGTATAATTAGTGATCATGTATCACGAGGAAATCATTCAAAGTCTAGACTGGAGGTTAGACGTTTCAATGTTTTCCTAATACATTATTAGAATATAAATACTAATAATCAATTATAATCATATTTAATTGAATTAATTCTAATAATTCAATTTTTAGATTTGAAACTCCCGTTTGAAACTGACGCTTAAAGTGTAATTGGATTTGACGAATGACTAATAATAATTTATATAAATACTATGAGGTTATAGTAACATTAATTTATTATATTATAATTTATTAGAGAACTCAAGTCAATATTTTTTTTCTCTCAACTTAAAGAGAACTATCCTGATATTAATTCTCAAATTTTTCCAACACGAAACATTTTTTATATTAAAAATTTGAAATCACTAATTAAAGATATAGCTAAAAGTTCGATCAAACAAGGTTGAAGACTTTAGTAAGTATTCATTTAAATGAAACTAATATTATACTATTTTTTTACATTTAGTCAGCCCGTGATCACGGTTGCTTCGAAGTAACCAAAACTTCGGGAGAATGTAGTTTTAAATAATAAAATAACCCGTAGTAGTCCGAAAATATTAGTTTCATTTAAACGTAATCCTGTTAAATAATTGATATCCAGAAGTTCTTAATTGGCGTTAAACCACCTGATCCTGGTTAAGGTAAAACGTGGGAAGAAGGAAACGTATGATAAAGAGAACAATTACATTACATTGTTGTAACTGGCTCACACTTCTCACTTTACAATATACTCGTACAGATTATATTTCAACTAGCTCTTAGACTATACATAAAGAAACAATTCTTTTTCGAATATATTTATTTCTAATTATTTATGTATATATTCTTTGGTTCATCTTGTCATTACGTCTTATATATGAAACTGGGTAAAATAATTGAAAAAAAACCTTGGAAAGGCGAATAGAGTTAAAAAATATAGCTTTATTGAAATTATAATAATAAAGAATGAAAGAAATCTTTAATATATATATTTGTATATAATTTTTTATATATAATATATGTTTCTTTATATATTTAATAATTGGTTCAATAACACTATAATTTCAGTGGTCTTCAAACGTGTTGTTTAATTAACACACCTCCGTTAGTCGTGACACAGTAACTACGACTTGTTTGTTTCTCTCATATACTAAACCTAATTCAGTTAATGCATTTTCTACAACAATATTTCTTTAATAAATATTTAAATCGATATTAACTAAGTCTTCTTCATCTACCTGGCAATTTCCGAGCTTTAGCCAGGGTCTGCCTTACATGTTGTGAATAGTTTTGGCTAATT